AGGTAAACAATACATTTTTGTATGGATTTATTGTTCTAATCAAATAGAGTAGGTCATCTTCACTTCTCAATGGCCACTTTCAAAGTATCGAAGGAGAATGAGAAGTCCAACCATCTAATCTTGTTTACGGAAGGTTTCCACCCACTTGCCCTTGTGGTATTAGATGAATTAAGTAAGATACTTTGAAGGCTGTATCATTATTATAACTATAATAAAGCGAAGTACACATTATAGAGAATGCCAGACAACGGTATGCATTGATTTTTACATTGAATTACGAATTCAATGCAAAAATTACGGAGGTGAAAGAAACAAGTATTGTCCATTCAAACCTCTTGTGTTTACTTTTCGGATAAGTTTCAGCATAATCATTAGGCTATCAAGAATGATGAACTGAAGATATCTATTTAGATGACAACTATATCTTAACGCTTGTTAATTTGAAAGCAGCTCTCAGCATTGTAAGGTTTGTTTATTTAGGAACGGTTGCTATAATAACCGAGGCTAGGTTTATTGTCCAAATATATATTTCTATTACAATTATACATATGTTAATTAAAGCCACTTAATCTAGTCCTTGCTCATCGGTCAAAATCTAGAGTGCCTCACTGTAAAACTGTATACAGTACATCTATTTGTTGTTAGGTCTTGTTTATTACTTAACGGTAAGGCTCGAAAGAATAGAGCTGATCCATAATCTAAAAATAGTAGTACCCACTGTGTAGTGCCCTGCTCCATATATATATTTGGTTCAAATCTATCGATTCTTTTCTTTGCTCAGTTGGACTACTACAATTAGACCTGTTAATATAACTACGTCGTCTTTTCAGAAGACATTGAAGCCGTTTGTCTATTCTGCTTCAGGGCTCATGTGCTCGTTAAGAAAAATGATATAACGGGTGGGTTTTTGTCTGTTGTTTAGAAACCAACCACTGCTGTATGGAAATACTGCACTGTGCAGTATAGATACAACTAATCGTCGTTTTAACTATAAAAAAACACATCAACCTAATCCAACAAACATCCAGTGGCGTATCTAGGAAGTGCCTGGGGGTTGACGCATGTCCCTCCAAAAAAATCTCGTGCCCCCAGGCGTCCCTTCCCCAGAAAAAAAATCACGGTCAAGTTGTTAAAAAGCACTTAAAATCACCTCATGTTGCGGGTTAGCCCCCCCCCTCAACTGATCATCACTCAACCCCCCTTCAACTCCGATTCCCCCATCAGCACCCCCACTTTAAGTCTCCTAGACACGCCAATGCAAACACCTGTTTTATTTCCCCATAATTGTACTTAATATTATTAGGCCTACACCCATGGTAGAAGTCCAAGGTTTAAGTAATTATATAGACCAGATTTTTTACCAAGTGAACTATATATAATGATAGTTTAATGAAGAAGGTATTCGTACCCCCAGGACCACCTGGTGGGTTAACGAGGATATTTAACTCAGCAGATCATAAAATGTTGATGCTTTTGCTTTTTTAACTCACAATTGGCGGAGTACCAAGACAGCACCATTACTTTTCTACCGCTCGTCCATCAGCACCGCATAGTAGCCCAACGATCGAGGTGCAAAATCAATTTCTTGATATGCCGCTGATCACAGTTGGGTTATGGTTTTATAAACGGCACTTATCCGATTCGACAGTGGTGGATCATCTCATGTTATATTGGACGGTTCCATCGCGCAAATTCACGTTGCCGCGTCGCTTTCGGTGCAGAATATTGCGTCGATACTTAATTCTCAAGACGCTGAACTGGCTTACGCAAAGCACAAAATAAACTCATTGCAAAATACAACTTGCAAATAATATATAGAATTATTGTTGTATAATTAAACGTTTCATTAATAGCCTGTATTATCGCGGCTGGCCTCTGATGTTCCTATCAACGTTATTAAAGAAATAATCGATTTGGTAGCTAGTATAGTAATAATTTGAGTTACTAGAATAGAATCGTACTAAAACCAATCAGATAGAACAATGCCATCTTCTTACTTTAATCAGTGCTAATATTTTGAGATTTTATCATTAAAGTATCTAAGCTCTTTGTACATTAGATCGTATTAGAAGTCGACTAGTAATGACTAATAGAGCTTGCCTGAGATTTAAGCTACGATCGATTTCATCTGGATGTTAGCTACTAACATTCAGTTTTATGATTCAAACATAACGATAATGGGATAAATAAAGATTTAATTAAAGTGAAATAAGTTTTTTTTGTACAATTATATGAATCGTATATTTAGCCGACCAACACAGGTGAAAATATTGTTTTGCAGTATACCATTTGTCTGTCAGGACTGCATTCACCAATGTCGCCATTTTTTTTTCTAATTAATTTTTAAAGACTTTGAAGAGGCATTTTTAATTAAATATTTCATTTGTTTTATAAATTAACTATTAATTTATTTAGAATTATTTGACAAAGCTCATACCGCAAGTGCATCTGAATGATCTTTTAAACGTAATTTTAGATTTCATTATCTTTTTTTTTAATTTTTATGATCGTTTTTTTAATTTTGCATTTCTTATCAGCAAAATTATAAAAATGAATTTTCAGTTTTTGTAATAAAAAGTGGACAAAAAAGAGTAATTTCGGTAACCGGTTGATTGATATTGTCATACACATTGCTTGTTAATATCTGGATAGACTATATATGCAGTAACAGAAGAAATTTTAAAAAATGGTGGATCTGACTCAAATCATGACGATGGTACGATAATTTGCTATTTTCAGTAATTTATGCTGAATACCTAACAAGATCAGTTTCACTTAGAATGTAAGCGTAACATACAACGATACTGTATAGGCCTATGCATATTTCTCGACATTTTCAAAGGCCTAGCATCTTTCAACAATAGAGTATCAGCAGCGAAATAAGAACAACACACTATGAACGCCTGCTGAATTACACCATATACTTGAAAATTGTATAATAATCACACAAAATAACAGATTTGTATCGACGACTACTGTAAAAGATGTCGTCGGAGCGGTACAAAGAAATACAAAGAAAATGTTATGTAACAACAAACAGAATACACACTAATGGTTTATAAGCTGTTTTTAGAATACCGAAAGCTTAATTATTGATGATCTTAGCCTTGTCTTTCTATTTAAAGAATGATGACCATCTATATGACGAAAGTGAAATATGGAGATTGCATTTGCTGTTTACATATTTATTTATTGCTCATAACAACATATATAAACATTTACAAACTGAAGGTCGAAGATCCTATAAGGAAGCACTACACACTATTAAACCAATAGGATATAAAAGCAGTCGTTGGATACACATATTGACTGTTGATGTTTTTATAGATCATTTGTAATCTTTAAACCGCAGCTCACAAACATCAAAGCTAATGAAATTCACGAACCACAGTACAATTCATTTCTCAGATTATGTACGGAATCAATAGACATTACTTGTAAATCTTAGACGCCAATTAAATTTCATTTAATTTCTCAAAAAATCAAACATAAACTAGCTCCTAATAAAATTAGGATTATGTCTAATAATACAGTCATTTTAGGGAGAAATTATATAAAGTTTCAGGTTCCTAATTCAAGAACATGGCTTGAAGATCGATAGACTTGTTAAATTCTAATATTTTTTATTCAGAGTTCATTATACTAAATTTGCAACAATCTACGGAAATTTAAAACGAGTAAATTTTATATAAAGTCTGATGTGTTAAGATCAAACCTACGTGTCACCACTTTATTGGTAGGCCTACTAAAAGTAGCCATTTCAAAATATCTTTCAAAATTTTCATTTAAATTTTAATTTTTGAAGTTTCTGACATTAATTTTTATTAATAACAATTTAGTGAAATATCATATACTATTAGTAGGTCCTATTTACGTTTTTTTATTATATTATATTTATTATTATTTTGAAGAAATTGAAACGGGACGTAAAAAACAACATCTACCATTCATGTAATCTTACCTATAATGTTAATTGCCAAGTTCCCATCATAATTACAAGATATGTTTACAAAAAGCATGTGTTGTATAATTAAATTTTCTAAATAGAATTATTGAATTTTTTTATTTAATTATCTTTAATATGAGTATTGGATGTAAGTCATTTCTATTCATTATAACTTTTTAATATTTAGATTTAAAATGTTAAGCAAATAATATTTTTGTGAATTTCTTAATTGTTAAACCTGCATAAATATATCTATAGAATTTGTACATATGCCACACCATAATCTATAAAAAAAAAAATGTAATACACAGTGGTTTCAATACCTAAGTCAAAGCATTTTAAGTCACCGGGGATAACAAAAAAAAATATTGGTGAAGCAGACCACGATATATTACCTATTGCCTAGCTAGCCTAGGCTCATCGAAGTCTATGCAGAAAGCCGATGAATGTCAGCCTTGTTTCAAGTATTAACACACATTAATTAAAAGTTGTTTTTTGAGAATAACAAATAGTAATTTGTTTTAGAGACAATTATATGTAATTTTCTTACTTGTGTAAAAAAACCTCTGTAATAATAATAGATTTTGCGGCTTAAATTATTCAAGTATAGGCCTAAACTTCCTTCCTAATTTTAAAAGAAAAATGCAAAATACTTGTATACAAATTATAAACACCATTCGTAGAGTATCGCCCTACACCTAATGAACTAAAGATTAACGTGTATCGCCAGCTGCTCCGATTGGTATAATATTTTATTAAAATAGATGTTGAATCAAATTATGAATAGGATTATGATGTGTTTCGTTCCTCTTGAATTATTGCGTAGAATTATATATAGTATGGAGTACTGCCAGAATTTAAACAACAAGAAGAACTGTCCAAAAGCAGTTGTCATATGATCCTGTTTTGAGGATTATAATTTGTAAGATACTTTTTCATTAATTGAAAAATATAGGCCTATAACTTGTTATGATGTGTTTAAAAGCATTCTTTCACACGAATAATGACGCTAAACGTATATCGTGTTTATATTATCGACCAGTTTTCTCTCTTCTTCAGTTTATTATTAACATCCTTCATATCTTATCACTAAGTTATCCTGGATTGGATGAATGAGCCATTTAATATATGCATTATCACATCAGTCATTTAAATAATAAGTTATTTGCCAGTGTTTTAATAATTTAACGATTTTGTTTTATAAATTTGTTAATTTTTCAACGTTCTCGCTTTTACCTTCTTTCAACTTTGGTTCCGGCAACTTTCTAAACCTCAAATAGCCAGACAGCGTTGCACTCTATCACAATATACGGGTGTACAGATTACAATACCACCATTGCAAAACTGGTGTTATTTTAATTTCTGACTTCCGTCATGCAGTAAGAGCATAACATGAGATAGCTGTTGATGAAATATCGTAGAGACTTTTATGTAATAGCTAAAATAAAAAGTGGTAAAAATACTATGCTTTTTGCAGTAATAGCACGGTTAAACATTATTCGTAGTTAAATTAAGTTTTATTTTTGTGTGGTAATTTTAGACTATCCTTATGCAAAAAAAGTTGGGAAAATTTGATATGTTCATGTTTTTTGCTGTATTTTTGCTATATATTTGTATTTTATGTATACATTATAATGTTTAGTTATGTGAAATGTAATATTTTTTTAATTATTGCACATTATAGATATCAGAATGGACGGAAAAGTTACTGACGTAAAAGAACCTGTAGTACTAATGGTTGATGGAGTGGCAGGTCATTTAGTTACCCCTCCCTCAAGGCAGAACAGGGAAACGTGGGGAAAGAAAATTGATTTCCTACTGTCTGTAATCGGCTTTTGTGTGGATCTCGGCAACGTTTGGCGATTTCCATACGTTTGCTTTCGAAATGGAGGAGGTAAGTTTTTTTTGTTCAACAAAAAATAACACAGACGTTGCATTCGCTGTCTAAGAGGTGCACAGGGAGAGCACGACTTCCATTGAAAACCTTTGAAGCAAAAAATAAACGCTTTTGTAGTTAAAAATCACCCTATTTTGCCAGCCAACACCTCCTTACTTAAATACATCGTACTGCACTTCAGGGTGACCAAACTTCGAGCTTTGCTCTTCTGGTTGACTCAACACCTTTTTTATTGCACAATTATATTCACCGACGATGAGTGATTCGTTCATCTTCGGTGAATAAACTTGAAACTTGAAAACTCATCGAGTTCTCTTACTTTACTCAGATACGCCGCTCACAAAATGAAACGTAAAGTAACTATTTTAATTTTTACTCTCAAAGCTTGCAATAGTTACAGTGTACCTAAACACATACACAC